AAAAAACCCTCAGTGATAGAGCTAGAGCAGATATGATAAGAAAGACGGCTTTGCCCCCTCAAGATCGTTTTCATCAAATAGAAGAAGGCATTCATCATGTTTTCAATCATAAAAATGATGAAAATCTTAAAGATTTTGGCATAGAAGTTGACTCAAAAATGATGGTCATTGAAGGTATGTATGATTGCATGTTGTAATTTTATTCGTATTTACCATATTTACCATTACATTACATTATAATTTTATTTACTATCACTATATGGTTAATCAATCATTATTTGTTTTGGATTCTTAGGAAGAGTTCTAGAAACTCCAAAAGTGAAGTATGCAAGAGATGAATTCGTACCTCAAAATGGCCGCTGGAACCTGATGAACAAAATTTTTGTTAGAGTATGTGTTATAAATATAATTTTTTTTGTTTATGCGTGTTTATTAATATTAATGAATTTTTCATTTATGTGTCAATAGACTAGGACTTTAGTAAACTGGTCTATTCTTGTGTTGGATCAACGCGCCAACAATCAGATCAAAGGTTTCGTTAGGGAGTTTAAGACTACTCTGATCGAAAGAGGAATGGTATGTAAAAATTTTTGTCATTTTAAAGTATGTTAACTTATGTATAATTATATCTAATTAACTTTGTATATAGGACGTGCAAACGGATCCTGCAATCGAATATGGAAATATACAAGGAGACTTTAGAAAAGTAATTATATTTCATTATGACGAATTCATGCTTAATTATTACATTAATAATATTTCGGCTTAATGTAGGAAATGGGGATGGCTTATGCAAAGGCCCGGCTCGACAGGAATCAACAGGTGCAAATCATAATCATCATTATCCCAAAGAAATCGTGTGATATTTACGGAAAAATTAAACGAATTTCCGATACCGAACTTGGTATTCCGACACAATGCATCCTCTCCGATAAATTGAGGAGGCCTAATAATAAGGCTTGTTGGAATAATATTGCTCTGAAAGTGAATGCTAAATTGGGTGGACGTAACTCAACACTTGTCGAAGGCCAATTAGAATATGTAACCAATATAAAAATTCCTGTAAGTAAATTTAATCCAATTTTTTACATATTTTATATTTATATTTATATATATATATATATATATTTTTTTCAAACTTTAAAGACAATGATCATGGGCGCTGATATTTCACACCCTGGCCCTGGTCAAACAATGCAACCGAGCATTGCTGCTGTCTGTGCTTCGATGGATGTTAATGGCACAACATACTGCGGTCAAGTCAGCGTTAACGAAGAAAGACGAAACGAAACAATAGAAAAGTTAGATGAAATGGCCACAGAATTACTTCAGATATTCAGTAACAAAAATAATGGTTGTCTACCTCATAGAATGATTTTCTATCGTGATGGTGTTAGTGAAGGCCAATTTTCTGGTGTCGTAAAAAAAGAAGTTATTGCTATAAAGAGAGCATTCGAAAAATTGTATGAACAAGGAAAGGCACCTCTGTTGACGTTCATTGTTGCTCAAAAGAAACATCACACTAGGTAGACAAATTGCTTGAAAATTATGAATAATTTCATAAACTGACGTGTACACCAATGTTTGCTCATTAAATAATTAAATGAAGCTTTGTATTTTGTTAATAGATCGATCAACAA